CGAAACTACCAGCTGCTCCGCGGGAGAAAGATGAGGCTTTCTACTCCCGTAAAGATTTACACCCTCGGAAACCCTGTACAGGGTCACTATGAGTCGGTTCCGACTCCACGGCATATAACAACAACAACAACACCTAGTTTAGAAAGCAGCTCTGGTTAGCGTAGTGGTTACGACAGACTGCTAATGCCAAAGTCAGCAGTTCAAAATTACCAGTTGTTCCTCCGGAGTAAGAGGAGGTTTTCTGCTCCCATAAAGATTTACAGCCTTGGAAATCCTGTACAGGGTCACTATGAGTTGGAACCGAATCCACAGCACAAGAGTTTAGATGGAGTTCTGGTGTGGCGCTGTGGGTGAATGCGCTGGACTGCAAAGTTGATTTGAACTACAAGGTCAGCTGTTGGAGCTCATCAACCGCTCCTTGGAAACCCTATACAGGGTGCTATGAGTTGGAACTGACGTAACACACTTAATAACAACAACAATACAACAACCTAGTATAGTGAGTGTACCTAGTTTATGGAGTTCTGGTGTGGTACTGTGGGTTAAAACGCTGAACTGCAAGGATGGTATGAATAGCAAGGTCACGGTTCAATCTTACCAGCCACTCCTCAGAAACAATACAGGGTCTCTGTGAGTTGGAACTGACTCAACAACACTTAACAACAACAACAACATCTAGTTTAGTGAGTGGCAAATTGAGTGAAGCTCATTGGAACTATGGAAGTTAGGACTTTTAAGAAAAATTTTAATGCTGTTTACAACATTAAATATCCAACTAATAGAAATAAAAGAAAAGCACATAAAAAGTGTTTCCAACCCGGGCCAACAGTGATCAAGGTAAAGAAATTAACAAAGCCAAGTTCTTTTCCCCTTTGCTTGCTCATAGGTATCTTTTCAAATTGTTTGATTATATATTTTTGGACATTACATTTATATTTTGATTGCTCAAAGGAAATACTTACCTGCAAAGTAACATTCTGGGGCAGTGCTATGCAACAATCCTTTATTAAAAGCTACTTTGTCCATGTTTATTTTAACGCTCTTATTTTTAGAAGATCAATGCAGTATCTTTGTGACTGAATTCCAAGATTACTTAGCAAGGGTCCACACATACGAGGGTGTAGAGTCATTGAAAACTGAGAACGCATCCAAATTCATGCTTAGCTGAGAATCCTCTGTTAACATTTAAGAGGCAAAGCAATCTTTTCAAAATAGGCATGTGGGTTTGAGTAGCATAGAAATGGTGGAGTACAACATCCCAGGTCCAGCTTGTTGTTCCTTCAACCTTGGTTGTCTCATCATGTTCCTATACCCCTTTATGTGATGAGTTCTGCTTGCTAAGGTGTTGGTTATCCCATTTATTCCTCTTTCATTTGCTTCCTTTGTCCTGTCATGGGCTTCAGTATGGCAGATAGTTAGGGCCCAATGTGGTTCTGACCTGGATTTACATTTTTGCTACTTTGAGTAGCTAAATGATCTTAAACAAGAAATATTTCCAAGTTTCAGGTCCCTTAACTGTAAGTGGAAGACCTTCATACCTACTTAAATGTCAAAAACATGTCCAGCTGGTCCTTGATAAATGTTCTTACCCTACGGTTGTAAGAACACTTGTTACATTTGATAAGTGAGAGAGAATAAGTTTATAGAAAAATAGAATTGATAATGGAAGTTTTTCCACAAACTTATGAAACCCCCTTGTAAGAATACAACTACCAAAATATTTAGTGCAATACAAGTAAACAGCAAATGCAGAGGTAGGTATTTCAGTTATAAATTTAAACTTAATTTTATTTTGCAAAAGTCAATAAGGACACATTCAGATCTGGTTTCTCTTGGAAACATGTGTTTGTTTACTTAATGAACATGAAAGTTAATTTGGCATGCCAAACATCTTTTTCTCTAATTCACCTTGGATTTTTTTTTTTTTTTCTGTCACATTAAGAGTACAAAATTGTCCAAAACTGATTTGCATTTTTACAATGTAGAATTACAAGCATTTATACTTTTGGAGGTAAGAAAATCTGCCAACCTTGGTCTTTGTCATTCACATTTAATTCAGCATTATAAGGAAACATTTTTGTTTTTAAGATAAACACTTAGAGGGAAATTTAATATATCACTTCTACTCTACAGAGGAGCCATTATATTAAAGCATTTGACTGGAGCTGTCATGTTCCTGCTGGTAGATTATTACTTCCAGCCTATTTATTAGCTTTTCTTCCTGAAGTCCTATGCATGCTTCCCCACCCCTCCACTGAGTGAAAGCACAGAAAGAAAGACATTTATTTTCTTTCCCTCCCTAGCATCATGCAAGGCAAGGCAGCATTACAACTCATGATATCTGAATTTACTTTGATTATATTTTGTTTCTTATACTCAAAGTTATTTTATATTATAATACTTATTTGGTTATTTAAAATCAGTATTGTTGATCTTAAAGCATAATAAAGCTAGACTTTAGAGGCATTTGAAATAATTCATAAACCGTATCTTAACTTCAGCCCATGTGTATGCATTTGAAATAAAAGAATTTTAGGTATCAGCAGTTTACTAGAAAAAAAGACGTTGAGGAAGTGGATCCAGATAATTTATTCACATTTTTGTACACATTGTAAACAAGAATAGGATACTTCAGACAGTAGCCTATGGAGAATTTTAAAAAATATATTCTTTAATATAGAATAGGTATCAAGGGAACATTCAAAATTTAATTCTGGTAGGTATCTTCTAAGTCAGTTTTTCAGAAATTTTTTATATGAAATTGTCTTTATTTAAAAAAACAAAAACAAACTGAAGTCATAGATATGAGTTAAGATAATATGGCATGTGAGGTAAAGTCAAGACACAAGAATGCATAGAGAAGAGAGAGCTTTTCAGATCAAATAGTGAAAGAAGACATAGGATTTCCCTAAATAAGTTGTAAGCAACATATAAATATGCAGTGACATTTCACAGAATGCAAACAAGATCAATTATAAATTGTACTGTGCAATCCACATATTTTTGAGAAGAATTCCCAAGCCAGGCGGATGTGGATTGGGATAAAGACATAGGCAGTATATACTACCATAGCAAAAATGGTTAGTAAGATGGTGTTGAACATAGATTGTTCCCAGGGCTCCAAAACGGCACAGCAACTAATGATTTGGTATTGATAGTAGATCCAGGAGAAATATCCCTTCACACCCCTGAAGTCCATGGTCAGCTCCTCCTAGCTGCAAAAAGGTAAAAGATTAGGAGAAAATATAATAAGGAACAAAATTCAGAACCTCCTTAGATTTTTATGATCTAAACATGTTAAATAAAACCTTTCTGAGAATGTTAAATAACATTTGTTGTTGTTATGGTTGTTGAGTGCCATCGAGTCAATTCCAACCCATAGCAACTCTGCATAGGGTTTCTGAGGAGTGAGTGGTGAGCTTGAACTGCCAACCTTATGATTTAAACCAACTTTGCAGTCCAATGCATTTAGTGACTTATTGATAGGAGTATTATATAGAAGTAATACATAACCCATCAGCAGATGAGTGAATAAGAAAACTGGTACATATACAATGGAATATTATGCAACATTAAAGAACAATAAGAAATCTGATAAACACCTAAAAAATGTGGATAAACTTGGAGGACATTGTTGTTGTTGTTGTTAAGTACCATCGAGTTGGTTCCAACTCATAGTGACACTGAACAGGGTTTCCGAGGCTGTAAATCTTTACGGGAGCAGAAAGCCTCAGTCTGATTTGTAACCACTACGCTACCAGAGCTCCTTGGAGGACATTATGCTGAGTGAAATAAGTCATTCACATGAGGACAAATATTATATGAGACCACTATTATAAAAAATCAAGAAAAAGTTTACATGCAGAATGAGAAATTCCTTGATAGTTACCAGAGATGGGAGGGAGGAAAGGAAAAATTCAATAGACATGTCACATATTAATTTGGGTGCACATGAGTTACAAAGAGAAAGGTAGATACTATTATGTTCACAACCCTGCCATACCAATAATAACAAATAATTATCTACATGCTTATCATGATAAATGGAGAAAATATTGAAGTTGTCAAAAGCTTTCATTTTGCTTGTATCCATAATCAATACTCCTGGAAGCATCAGTAAAGAAATAAAACAATGTATTGCATTAGATAAATCTGCTGTATAAGACCACTTTAAAGTATTCAAGAGCAAAGATGTCACTTTGAGGACTAAGGTCCAGCTGACCCAAGCCATGGTATTTTTAATAATCTCAAATGCATATATAAGTTGGACAATGCATAAGGAAGACTGGAGAAGAATCAAATCGGTGCATTTGAGTTATGGTATTAGAAAAAAATATTGAAAGACCCATGGACTACCAGAAGAATAAACAAATCTATCTTGGAAGAAGGAGAGCCAGAATGCTCCTTAGAAGTGAGGATGGGGAGACTTTGTCAACATGGAAATGTTGTTAGGAGGGATCAGTGCTTGGAGAATGACATCATGCTTAGAATAATGGCGGGTAAGTGAAAAAGAGGATGACCTTCAATGAGATGGATTGATACAGTGCAGAAATAATGGACTCAAACATAACAATTGTGAGGATGGTTCAGGACTGGGGCATTGTTTCTGTTGTGTGGGATCACGATGAGTTGGAACTGACTTGATGGCACCTAACAACAACAATAATTTATGAGTGGTTACATAAGCAGACATACAAGCTGATCAGGTAAGGATGGATGAACGGACTACACCCACTGTGTATAGGTTTTCCACATTCAGCATAACTGTATGTGCTGTAAATATATCCAAATATATAGAAGGGCACTTGGGGGTGCTGAGGGAGTAAAATTACGAAAACTTCTTAGCTATAACTAAACACCTTGTGGGAACGAGTCACTGGACTTGGGGACCTAGTATCAGGGGACAGCTAATTCAATGTTTTATACTTTTGATGAGTAGCGACTTGGGTCTTAAAGGCTAGTGAGTAGACATTTAAGACACAGCTAGTGATCTTTCCCCACTTGAAGGAAAGAAGAGTGAAGAAAATTAAAGAGTCAGGGAAACAATAAGTCCAAAGACTAATGGACCATGAAAACCACAGCCTCCATTATACTGACACCAGAATAACTAGAGAGTACCTGGTGACTATTATCAGCCTTCTGATTAGGGACACAGAATATCCTAGACAGAATGGAAGATAAAGAGTAAAATTCAAAATCATATAAAAAACTAGACTTATTGGCCTGACAGAGACTGAATGAACCACCAAAAGTATGGCCCTTAGACACCCTTCAAACCAGGAACTGAACCCGCTCCCAGGGATTTCTTGTAGCCAAACAACAGACAAGTTTATAAAGTGAAAGGTAACGCTAGTGAGGAAAGTGCTTCTTAGAATAATCAACCATACAATACCCAAAGGGGAGCATGGGCCCAAAACAAAGCTCAGGACGTAGGAAGGGTCAAGTAAGAAGGAAGAATGGAAACCCAGGGAACCCAGAAAAGAGCGCTGTTACATGAAGGGACTGTAACTACTGGCAAGAAATAAAATGCGCATAGTCTGGTGGATGGAAAATTAATTTGCTCTGTAAAATTTCACCCAAATCACACTAAAAAGAAATTATATAAAACATATTAATAATATGTATTAATAATATTAGGATCCTGGTGTGGCACTGCAGGATAATGCGCTGAACCATAAGGTCCATTTGAACCACAAGGTCGGCAGTTCAAACCCACCACCTGCTCCTTGGAAACTGTATACAGGGGTTACTATGGGTCGGAATTGACTCAATGGCACTTACCAGCAGCAGCATTAATAATATTACTATTATTGTTGTTAATTTTTGGTGAGTCGGTTCAGATTCATAGTGACCCTCTATAAGGTTTCCAAGGAGCAACTGGTGAGCTTGAACCCTAACCTTGGGGTTAATTCACAGTGCCACACCAGAACTCCATTATTACTACTACTAAAATTAATGGTAATAATATTAGTAACTATTATATGTATATAATAACTGCAAGTCATAATTCTAATGTTAATATCTAAAAATTGAGATGAATCAATTTTTTTAAGCCATGTATATTGTTGTTGTTGTTGTTACGTGCCGTCGAGTCGGTTCCGACCCATAGCGACCCTGTACAGGGTTTCCGAGGGTGTAAATCCTTACGGGAGTAGAAAGCCTCATCTTTCTCCCGCGGAGCAGCTGGTAGTTTCGAACCGCTGACCTTTAGGTTCGCAGCCCGATTCGTAACCACTACGCTAGCCATGTATATAGAGAGAGATAAATTTCTTACAATATATATTCTGGCAGAGATTAAAAAAGTAGTGTACAAAAGAGTTAACATAGCAAACATAGCAAAGCTGCTCTCTTTAGAGGGACCTGCTTACAACGTTGACTGTTGACTGGTATCTGGGAACTCTGCTTATAGAGTGTTCCCTCCATTCTTAATTGATAAGAATGATTCACTGTGCCTAGACTATAAAATCAATTTAATTTATTGTAAGCACCTCTTTTATTCTGGGAGTCTAAAAGTTTAGTAATTACCAGGTGCCTACATGAGCAGCCCCAATAAAAACTTTGGGTGTTGAGTCTCTCAGGGGTTTCCCTCAGCAGAAATATTGCACATATATTACCGCACATTTTGCTGGTAGAGAAAGAAGCATGCTCAGTGTGCTCGCTAATGGGAAGGAGAGAGTATTGGAAGGCTGCACACACTGAGCCTGTTGCATATCCTTTCTCTACAATAAACCATAGCTTTTAGTACAAATACATGCTGTGTTTGGTAAGTCCTTCTAGCGAATTACAGAACATGTGGGGGGTTCTTAGGGATTCCTCCTGTCAAATATCAAGTAGAAAGTGTACTCATTCATTTGTTTGGAGTAAAGAATTTATGGAAACGATAGGGAAATACTCAAGGAGCTCTGGTAGTGTAGTGGTTACTAGCCAGGCTGATAACCTCAAGGTCAGAAGTTCGAAACTACCAGCCATTCCATGGGCATTATTCATTCAGAATCAACTGTGTATTAGGCATTGAAAATCTGTTTTAAATAGTCTTAATACTTTTTTCACTTTTACAAACAGGAGGATATTGTTCATTTAGAAATACTCGCTTATTTTTTGTCTCTATGCACTTTAGCCTTTTAAAGTACACTAATTAATTGACTAGCCATCACTTTCTTTTTTAAAATGAAATTTCTTTCCTGGGCACACTCTGTTTCAGAGGCACGAAACTAAGCTATACTCAGATTCTTGAGACCAAAAAATAGGAAAATTATAATTGTTCATTGTTTTAAGGTGCTATAATACATCAATCAAGGAATAGATAGATCTGAAGCATATTGATAATGCACTGCATGAAAGGTGTGACCTGATATGATTTTGGTCACAAGCACCCCAAATTTACACTGTCTTGAAATCTGGTCATTTAAAATATACTGTTGCAAGGCTCAAAACTAAAGGAGTTAAGATAAAAATTTAAAGAAAAACAAGTTTTTCTTGTCAGATTCCACAAAATCTCCCATGCCACAAAAGTGCATTCATTGCCACAGCTCATTTTAATCTCATGAACTCTAAGAGTCGGTCAATAAAAAGCATTTATGTCCCCCCATTTCTTATATTCTTTTTTCCTTTATTGATACGGAGCAATTTTAAAGATTGTTTATTCAGTTTCTTATTATGAAACAGTGAGAAGGGAAATGGTGATTACTAGGAAACCATCTGCTAAAACAAATTATTCATTATAAATAAGAAAGCCAAGGTGATGTGGCTAACATTATATTGATGTTTAAGTTTTTGACATTCATTTGATTTGTCAAATAGAATTGAAGTGTCTGGAGCATGTGGGAAATATTCTGCCTTTTGTGACTTGACATTCCATAAAAGAGAAGTAGAAATTCCAATGAAGGCTTTCTTTGGCCTTCAAAGACCAAAGTTAGGCAAGGACCATGGAATTGGGTGTGTCAGATGTCTGAAACATCTAAGTCCCATTTTCTCTCTGTTTCCTCAGACTCTACTCACCTTTTCCCTGAAATTCTACAGTTTAGATTCTTTGCTAGTTAACTGAAGGTTTGAATACCTAATTATGACAAATATGACTGAGAACAGGCAAAACCTGAGGTTCTTATTAGTAATTAAAGTACATCTTACTTAGCATGGATGACAGATTCAAAGTAGACATTGCTGGATTGGAGGCAGGGAAGTGAAAAAGGATAATTAAAAGTCTTGGGAACTAGAAGGAG